AGGGGGAAGGAAAGGGGTGGGAAGGCGGCAGGGTATTTTTTTCTCTCTCTCTTTCTCTCTCTTTGTAACTTGCAGGTTAAGTGGAGCTAGAGAGCTACATTGTAACCTAGTTGGATGGGGGGGTGTATCAGAATCAAACGTGTCCTTAATAGAGAGAAGAACAGGCAAGAAGTGGTCCAGCCGGCGAAGGTTGGTGTACGCTTGTGTTCTGGCTGTGTGTTAGTCTTTCTCTGAAAATTCTTCATGGTTTTGAGTGTCTTTCTGGTGCTCTCCGGTTCGGGAATTCTGAAGAGACAGGAATCCCCTTAAAAGCAGACGAATGCACGCATTGTGTGCATTTCACGAGAAGCAGTGGGCTTGGGAATTAAAGGCAGGCTTCCCCGTTCGGTGGTTTCCAGTGGGAAATCACTCCGGAAAGGAAGCCCTTCCGTATCGATTTATTGTTTTTGTCTTCCCAACGATTATCTCTTTGACCAAAATATTGTCGGAGAAGTTCCACAGAGACAAAGTCAGGTAAACTAGACTGGGCAGATCTTTAGCAAGATGGTGATAACGGTGATGCTGTCTGGGGTGTTTGTTTGTGATGGGAGTATTGTTGGGTAATTGCAATTTCTGATCAGTAGAGCATGCTGGTTCTAAAAAAATAAGTCACTGCTGAAATGCCTTCTTCCAGCCTCCTCCCCTAACCCACTACCATCACCCCTCCTCCCAGACCTACACTACAATTCTGAAATTGGATCCAACTGGAAATATTTTCTTTGGCGACAGGAAAGTTGTGCAGTTGGACTTAGGAGATGAGGCTAGAGGTACTGGAACCATGTGTGTGTGTGTGAGTGTGTGTGAGTGTGTGTGTGTGTGTGTGTGTGTGAGTGGGGGGCCTTCTGATTGCCCCCGGGACTGTTTTTATCCTTTATGTGTCTGTGCGGGATTCTCAACGTGTATATCTGTCTAAAAGGACTGTTGAGGAAAGGATTTCCGATTTGTTTCCGTTTCAAATAAACTGTCCTGATAATCTCACGGATGATGTGTAATACTCGACGGGCAATTTGTGTGTCTTCTTAACCCAGCAGAAACTGTTCTCCTGAGGGGAGTTTATTCTGGGATTCTACAGCAGCTTCTTTGCCTTCCCAGCCCCTTACCTACACCTTTACCAGTAAAGTTTGATTGGAGCCCATGGTCTCTAAGGAAATACTGATATTAGTGGTTTTTCCTCTTAGGCTCTTTTCCCTTCTTTTTCTTTTCATTCCTTCACTTTTCGTCCTGTTTGTAGATTTGTGTTGTAAACTTTCATAAAGTAGCTGTCACCGAAGCTGGGAGTTTGGACCCCATCCCCTCACTGTCCTGTAGTTCACACAGGTAAATCTAGGTCTCATCTGAATTCAGCTCCATTTGCCAAGGGTACTTGTGTGTGTTTTGTGGGGCGGGAGGGGGGGGATGGAGTAAAAGGCCTTGGAGAGGAAGAATGTGTCACGTGCAGGCCATAACTGCAGCGCTTAGCCCAGACCAGGAAAGCAAGACTTTGCTTTGCACACCCCAGTGAGATGTGTCGGGGTCTAGGATGGGAGGCGGGGCCAACTGGCTGGGTGGGGGGGCGTGTGAGGGAGGAGAAAGTTTGTAGGTTCAAATTGTATCCAGTTTACAATCCCTGCTCCCTCCCTCCCCTTTCAGTCCTTTTTTTTTTTTTTTTTTTT